TAAATTTTAAATTAAATTAAATAAAATTAAATAAAATTAAATTAAATTAAATTAAATTAAATTAAATATTAAATTAAATTAAATTAAAAGAAGGCTTTTCCAAAATAACCACATTACACTAGTAGTATATTCTCCTCACAGCAGTCCCAGTGCTCACCAGAGGGCGGCGCTCTCACCGTCAGCATTCATGCAGTGCTCAATCACAAAATCCGAACACACTCCCACTGGCAGGAGGAGCTTGTCATGTCTTTTTCCAGCTCTGACTCATTTGCTCTGGTGGGTTTGACCCGTGTGATGGTCTGCAGGCCTCGTGACTCAATGACCTCGAGTCAGCGCGCAGGAAACACAAACACTACAGTTTGTGCAAGAGCATTGTGTAAAAGCACTGAGTCATGAGAGTCCGCTGTGTTCACAATAACACAATGTGCTTAGTATGCAGGTCGTCAATTTGCATGGAATACTTGGATCATTTGCTCAAATGTGCAGCATGCCACAGAACATGCATTGTGAGGTGATGTATCCCACAAGGCAATGCACTTCACCTTCCATCTCCATTGTGATGAATGAACTGCAATAGACTTAAACATTGCTTTTTACCAGTAGGGATTTTTAAAAAGTCTTTAAGAATTATAAACCATGAACCAAACCCACCAGCTACGAGGAGGAACACAACAAAGTGTTTGAAAACCAGACAAAGACACAAACTGTGATCTTAACGGCTTTAACGAGAGAAAGAACTATAATCCCATAAAGCATTGTGAATTACATAATCAAATTAAAAACTATAGAGAAATATAAAACAAATGACTTAAACAACTGGTGGAGTTTTCGGTGCAGAATCATGGGTAATGTAGTTTTTCACCATAATTCCACTGTTAAATGTGATTATATAAAAACAATGTTAAAATAATGGGGACTGATGATTTCAACAGAAGCACGAACCGTCAATTAACAACCTCGTAGCTCAAAGTACGTCTGTCTTTAAAGAGTTTATAAGTTACCATTAAAAATCAGTACTGCTTTGGAGAAAATAAATGGGATTTATTTCTGGTGCACTCTATTAAACCAGTCACATGACCAAACAATCATACTGTCTCAGTCTCTGCAGTGTTACTCATTTAACAAACTTTAAAAAGAAAAAACGTCAAAATAATGTCATACTATGTCCAGATCAGGTTAAGAATAATAATCATTTAAAAAATAACAATTTAACGAAAAATCAAGAATTCATTAAACAGATTGCAGTCGATGTCACTAAAAGTATTACTAGTGATGCACCAAATGTTTGTCAACCCAAAATATTTACCCAAAAATATGAATTTTTAATTTTGGCTAAAATGGTTTTGGAGGAATGAAAACAAATATGCAAAACTGTGACTTCTTAAATGTTTGTATTCAAAATTTACATTGTTGGTCACAAATGTTCATAGAAAAAAGGCTGCATTACATTCATAATCCATAGGAATTTTTTTTTAATTAAATAATAGAAATACTAAAATCCAAATAAAATAAAATAAAGGTGTATTTTCTGCTAATTTTGGACCCGTGACTCAATACAGTTTAAAAACTACCCAGATCTCCCGTTTAATGGACAAAATCTGGCTCAAAATATAAGAAATATATGCACCATATTACATAATCATTATATTTATATCAATATTTAAAGTATATTTGAATTAATCTGTCATGAAAAGTTATGACAACCACCGATGAAATAATATCATTAATGTGCATTTTAAATGTTTAACTTTAAATTTTATTAGACTGTTGATTATTAAATCATTATTAATATTAAATAACTATTAATTTATTATTAAAAATGTAATAGTTAAAAAAAATAAATTTAAAATTAAAATTAAATGAAAACTTTAATTTCTTTTTAAAAATTAAGTATTACATACTAGGGCTGTGACGGTCGCCATGACAAACAGAATGTCACATTTTATTATTAGCCGTTTCAACACATATATGTTTTACCAGCTAAGAAGATCAGCACATTTTTAGCGTTCATCCCACTATCTGATGTGAGCACAAGTATTGGGACAGATGAACTTAAGGCAGATGTAAAAGATTAAAAGCTATTATTTAGTTGCAGATATCTTGCGTGCGATCAGAGCATCGACCCACAGACATCACCAGACTCTTGCTCTCATCCTTTGAAATGCTTTTTCCCAGCCTTTAATGCAGCCAATTCCAGCTGTTGCTTGTTTTGGGGTTGTTTCTGCCTTTAGTCTACTCTTCAGCTGATGAAATTCATGTTTGAACTCTTGATTTCTCCATGCCCTTTGTTTTTAATTGACTTCATCTTTTCTTTTAGCATCCAAATTGCTTGCTTTTCTCTCAGAGTCAGCTCCCTCATCTTCATCCTGGTTTGTGTGTGTCGTCATCGAATGCAAGACTCAGAATGCAGAAGCAATGGATTTAACTGATACGACACATTCCCTGCTTTTAATATCTGAAGAATTAATGCAACGGGACACAGCTGATCAACTGTCCCAATACTTGTGCTCACATCAGATAGTGGGATGAACTCTAAAAGTGCTGATCTTCTTAGCTGGTAAAACATGTATGTGTTGAAACCGCTAATAATAAAATGTGACAATTTGTAGTTTTGTCTCATATTCATCTTTTAATCATATTTACAGATTGAGGGTGCAACAAAATCTAAATATTGAGAAAATCATCTTTAAAGTTGTTCAAATGAAGTTCTTAGCAATGCATATTACTAATCAAAAATTAAGTTTTGATATATTTACGGTAGGAAATTTACAAAATATCTTCATGGAACATGATCTTTACTTAATATCCTAATGATTTTTGGCATAAAAGAAAAATGTATAATTTTGACCCATACAATGTATTTTTGGCTATTGCTACAAATATACCCCAGCGACTTAAGACTGCTTTTGTGCTCCAGGGTCACCGTGGTGGTAAAAATCTGCCACCGTCACAGCCCTATTACATACTAAACATTGCAGCAGTTGACAGATAAAGTGTGCCCTGTACCTGGACGTGGGCGGGCTTCCGGATGACGTGCTTCTGGGATTCGTAGTTCTGGAGCAGACGGAGACACGAGGTGGTGGAACAGGGGGTCTGTACGGGCCGTCTCTGGGCTCTTTAGAGACGCCCACGGCGTAGCTCTTAGGAGGAAGAGGAGGAGCGCCCGCTTCTCCCTGAGCAGGAGATGAACACTGTTCATACAGGTGGAAGCGCTCCGATGATGAGGAGGAGGAGGAGGAGGAGGAAGAGGGAGACACAGGAGACGGCTTCCTCTCGCTCGTCTGGAGTTGCTGCGCCGGCCCTTTAAGTGGCAGGTGTTCTGGGCGTGGCCTGGGAGTTGGGATGGGCTTGGTTTGTTCGGCAGGTGTGGGCGTTTCCTTTTGTTCAGGGAGGCTGATAGGCTCAGGAGCGGTCGCCATGGTTACCGATCCGGGCGTGAAGGGAACGGGGGGTCGATTGGGCGTGACTCGAGGCGGGACGGGAGGCGGGCGTCTACCTGCGACGCTGTTTTCCGACGCTCTGAATTTGGTCCTCTCTCGGGCGACGGGCCTGTCCTCCTCTCGCTCCTCGTCCTCCTCCGTTCCCGCCGCCGAGGGGAGGAGCTTGCGCAGGCTGCCGAGGATCCGTTTCCTGTGGCCGGGCAGAGCCACGCCCATCTGCTGCAGCTGGGCGGAGCTTAGATCCTGACACTCCCACAGCGTTCCCAGCCCCGCCTCCTGGAAGGCCGGGCAGTACTGGTCGAGCCGGAGGCCACTCAGCCAATCGCACACGGGCTGGGAACTCTCCGGCGGGAAGAAGGACATGACCGGAGCGCCGGGCTGCAGGAATACACTGCAGGACTTCTTCTCCATGGGACGAGCTCAGGGAATCATCGCTGGAATGGGACGTCTATTGAGAGAAAGAGAGAGAGAAATCATCAGACTGATCAGGATTTATTTATTGTAAGTCAGAATTTATTTATTTATTCATTATTTGTTTGTTTATTGTGAGTCAGAATTTATTTATTCATTATTTGTTTGTTTGTTTATTGTGAGACAGAATTTATTTATTATTTATTTGTTTGCTTGTTTGTTTGTTTATTATGAGTCAGTATTTATTTATTTATTTATTTATTGTGAATCAGATTTTATTTATTCATTCATTATTTATTTGTTTATTTATTGGGAGTGAGAATTTGTTTGTTTGTTTGTTGTGAGCCAGTATTTATTTATTTGTTTGTTTATTGTGAGTCAGTATTTGTTTGTTTGTTTGTTGTGAGCCAGTATTTATTTATTTGTTTGTTTATTGTGAGTCAGTATTTGTTTGTTTGTTTGTTGTGAGCCAGTATTTATTTATTTGTTTGTTTATTGTGAGTCAGTATTTGTTTGTTTGTTTGTTGTGAGCCAGTATTTATTTATTTGTTTGTTTATTGTGAGTCAGTATTTGTTTGTTTGTTTGTTGTGAGCCAGTATTTATTTATTTGTTTGTTTATTGTGAGTCAGTATTTGTTTGTTTGTTTGTTGTGAGCCAGTATTTATTTATTTGTTTGTTTATTGTGAGTCAGTATTTGTTTGTTTGTTTATTGTGAGCCAGTATTTATTATTTATTTATTTATTGTGAATCAGATTTTATTTATTCGTTCATTATTTATGTTTGTTTATTGTGAGTCAGAATTTATTTATTTGTTAGTTTGTTTGTTGTGAGTTGGTATTTATTTATTTATATATTGTGAGTCAGAATTTATGTATTTGTTTGTTTATTGCGAGTCAGTATTTATTTATTTATATATTTAATTTCCTTTCTTTCTTTCTTTCTTTCTTTCTTTCTTTCTTTCTTTTTGACCTGTTACTGAATAGATCGCTTGGCAAGTTGTTTACTTTGTACTAAAGGATTTTTTTATTAATTTAAAAAGATTGAAAGCTGAGTTTAGTTGTTGTCAGATGAGACACTACAGCTATTAATGAATATCCAATCGTGGGTGAATTTACTGGCCATAAATATTTTCATGACCCTAAAACCGTTGCATCATTTTTTTTATTAAAATATTTAGGTAATTAGGCCTATTATTCACTTTTTGCATGCATGTTGTTTTAAAGAGACGTGTCTTTAGTGCTCCAGGGAACAGCATTACGGGAATCATGAGCGTGTTAAAGGAGACTGTAGGCATGAGATGCATTCAGAAGTCATATACTGTAAAACACAAGTCTGTCACCATCTCTCGTCGAAACTGAACCTGCAGGCATGAACACTCACTATTCTGTTCCTCATATTTTCATTCTGCTGAACACGTGGGGAAAATTACACATGGAGAGAAAAAGAACTTCAGGAATCCGAGACATGTTTACTTAAGCAGAGTCAGATAATCACAAGAAGTCTATCATACAAGAACAAAAATATGCATAGCTGATCCAAGAGCCTGATGAAATCTGTTTGATGTTTTCCCAAATTCTGTTTTATTTTTTCTCAAATTCTGCGTTTTTCGTTTTAATTTGTCTGGATATTCTTGGATTCTGGATATATTTTCTCTGAATATTTCATTTAAATGTGTTAATTAAATTGTAATTTAAAAACGTCTAATGAACTGCATTTATAAAGCTTTAACAATTCAATAATTTATTAAAAATTCAACAATAATAGTGGCTTATGAAATGCTTTTTACTGTTTTTAAACATTCTGTGTTTTGTGTTTTAACTTTTATTGATTTTTTATGTAATTTAGTATCAAAAATGAATGCATAAAACTTTTTAAACAATTTAAAAGATTAATTAAATTAGTTTCATTAACTAATTAAATTTAATAATTTTCCATCTCAAGTAAATGCACCTTGATTTTATGATGTTTAGATATTTGTACTGGAAAATCAGACAAAAATACAGAGGAAGACGTTCATTATTATTACTATTATTTTATTTATTTTTTTATTATTTATGTATTTTTCCCAATTTTTATTTATTTATTTATTATTTTATTTTTTTATTTTTTGCAGTGCATGCAACATTTAATGCCATTACCTTATCAATTTAAGACGTTCTGCTCTGATTTAAGACCTTTTTACACCTTAATTTGTGGAAGTGCAAATTAAGACTTTGTAAGACCCTGTACAAACCATTTTTACTCCAATACAGCGCTTGTTACATTTTGACCCGGCTGGCTTATTTATCTTTACATTAAATGTGACTTATTCTGCAGCAAAACGCACTCAGACAAAAACTAACATTTCAGAAAAAGCTCATTTCCTGCATGCAATTTCCTGTTCCTGCTCAGATAAAGATCATTTTTCCAGTTGAGCTCATTATCAGTCAGATGAATACAGATATTATTAGACCATGACTTCACAAACACAGTCTTCATGCATGATTTCTAAATCACTCTACGTTGTGTCTGACGTTAGATTTCTGTGTTAATGATTATAATACACTGAAGCTGTGCTGCTGAAATGTTCTGGAACGAGCGACTGAAGCCTTTGGCCCATGCACTCGTGTTCCTAAAAGACGTGTCCGACAAACGGTTAGACTCACAAAACACCATTCACACACACCAAAACAGAAGCAGCTCCTTCCACCTCCAATCCTTTTCTGTTTTAACACCGGTTCCTCAAACACCGTGACGATTCATCGTCATTATCATTAATATTATCTATCAACAGGATGCCTGTCAGGTACAACACGATTTCACTGATGCTCTTTTACTCCAAACACTGGCGCAACACTCAAATATTTAGCAATGCACAGCAATAACGTTGTATCCGTTTGGTGCAACTGACCACAATTGCTTAAAAATGCTGAAACATGAAGTTACTTCTTCGAAGCATTTGAGACGCTATACAGACCTGATGGATCACATTCAGACATTTCAAAGAGTCACTGACGTGAAGACAGCCGCTGTAGGATCATCACATGAGCAAGCGTTTCATGTTCAGGTTACTGTAAAAGAGAACATGCCAAACGCTGCATGTGCTTTACATCAAACACTCGTGAATCAATCAGCCAAAGGCACTTCCTCCTCTTTATGTTATAATTAGCTTGAATCAGGAACTATGATAAGATCTTCATCAGATATCAAAGAGGTCTTGAGATCATCTGTTTGGGTGAAGCTCAGAGGGTCAACCTACAAATTTATTGCAAATATAATAATCAAAAGCAGTATCAGCAAATCAAACTGTCTCACACATTTAAACTCTAAACTCTTTTTAGTTGCTTCCTCATTTTAAAATATCATTTTACCTGTGTGTGTAGTGGGTAAAACAGTCCATTTCAACGAGAAAAAGCAAAAAGACATGAAGAGATATTCTCCAACACACACACACCTGAATATTCATGACTGGATCTTCAGGTCACGTGTGTTTGAACATGAAAACACACACGAGAGCAGCTCATCTGAGCTTTTTTACTTTAGTAAAAAATAACAAAAAAACATGAGAAACACAAGACTGAAGCTGCCTTACAGGACAAGAGTTTTAATCACATTTCTGACTAAATGTAGATGTGTGTGAACTAAGGCTGTCAAAATGGCAGAAATAAAAATGTATCTTCATACTACAACAATAAAAAAAAAACATTTTATTTATAAAAAGTAGGGATGCACCGATACCGATACTGGTATCGGTATCGAGCCAGATACTGGTCTCCTGTACTCGTACTCGTACTCGTTAAAATGCCCCGATACCAAACGCCGATACCACACAGCATGTGTTAAGTGCCATATTCAGACAATGAAACACCAACAACAGACAGCAGAATGGAGTTATTAGAGATTAAGGATGTCTACGAAGTATATGTATGCAATGAATATAATGTTAAACATTCAGTATTGACTGTATAGCTGATGTGCGCGAGCTGATGAGCAAAGCACACTGAGTGGATTGAGCGCGCAGTGGCGCAGATGCGCGACGTCACTGGAAAGTTTGTAGTTCAGTCGGATGTGTCAAAAACAAGTAAGTAAAACAATGCACAAGTTACTTAA